CATTGAGCTTAGGGGGCTTCTGTGTAACTTTCAAGTTTTAATCTTCTGTGTTCCTATTGGGAAGTAGACTGTGAAATTTGGAGATGCTACACAGTCCTAGTACACTACAACATTTGTGTCACTATGGTGATTCAGCAATAATAATTCTAATTATTGTTCATGAACTAAATTAATCTTTCAATTGTATTAATCCAGTTAGGTCAAACAGTTCTATTCTACTAATTCTACTTTATTCTAATAATTTTTTTTCAGAAACGTGTACAGAATTCAAAAAACGGTTCGGTCACATAAATATCAATATGATGATCACGAGTTGAACTCAGTGACTTTAATGAAGGGCATTTTCATTGACCATGTCTCACAGTATATCTTTAATTAGCATTACCTGGTCCTCATATTTTTGAAGACTGAATCTCCCCAAAGAAATCCACTGATGTCCTCAAAGGAAAATCCCTTTAGCATCTGACAAAAAAGTTTAGCTTTGCCTTGAAAAAAACATAATTAATGATACTGACCTATTAGTAGTCCTCTAGATACTCATTCTTATAATCCCAAATGTTTTAAAGACAAAGCTTTATTTATTGCAATTCTGTGAGACCCAACATCATAGAGCAAATATTGAGGTCTTATAAAATTCTCCTCAGTGAAATCTAGGTAAGGAAAATATTCCATTTTATTCTTATTTTTAATATTGTCATCCACAAATACTTAATTATCAGAATTATTTAGAAATTTATTTCTTCATAACATTAACTTAGTTATCTTTATAATAAATGCATGGGAAAATCCTATGCCATACTATAGTCACTGCTGATATTTCCTGATTTTAAGGCTGAATTTTAAAATACATAGGTAAGGACACAAATTAATTTTCTTAAATACATCAGATTCACACTCTGAAATATATGTATGTCTCACTCAGTGAAATATAGTGACTAATAATTTTATAAAATAAAAAAATCTATAAAATATTCAGCCAGTGCTTTTATTTTGATCTATTTTATTTAAAATAAACCTTTTGATCATCAAATTTTATATTTATACAAAGTAGTCTAATTATGCATATAGCCTAATTAATCACTTAATAATTATGAAGTACAGAATTTTATTTATTTTTATTTTATTTATTTTTTTGCTGTGCTAGAATTGTTACTAGGGCCTCATACATGCAAAGCAAACACTGTAGCACTGGACTATGAGTATGATCCCCAAAAGGAAATTTTCCAAAGTAGATAAAATAAAATTTCAAAAAGATTTTCTTTTTTCTACATATTAGAAACTAAAGTGAAAATGAATTTATTTTTATTTAATGGCTTTAGTCTACTTTGATGGGCCAGAGTGACAGCACAGCAGATAGGGCATTTGCCTTGAACACGGCTAACCTGGGTTTGATTCCTCCGCCTCTCTCGGAGAGCCCGGCAAGCTACCGAGAGTATCCCGCCCACACGGCAAAGCCTGGCACACCACCCGTGACATGTTCCATATGCCAAAAACAGTAACAACAAGTCTCACAATGGAGACGTTACTGGTGCCCACTTGAGCAAAGTCACGGGACAACAGTGCGACAGTGCTACAGCCTACTTTGATATACTTCAGAAAATCTCAGGAAACAACAAAACATTAGCAGAGTATTTTAGTTAAATGATACCTAAACTTTCATTGAAATATGTTTCTATTGACAAGTATTGAAATGTATTTGACATCATACATATAATACATATAGCATATTGATGAAACAGTCACATACTTTAATATTACAGTCATTCAGTGTTGGCAATCACTCACAACAGATCCTTTCCTTTTTTGTGTGGGAATAATTAAGTTTTAGTATGAGCAAGCCTGATGAGTATAACACAATATAGTCTATATACATTATGCTGTGTATTACCTCTCCAGGTTTCTTCCCCTATCAGAGGCAACCTTGCATTGTTAAATTGCATCTCTGCCATTTTCTCCACACTTTCAGTGTCTGATAGTTGCCATTTAGTCTGTCTCCCGCTTATCTCACTTGCATAATGTCCTCAAGCTACTTGCGTATTATCACAAAAGAGATCATTTCATTTATTTACATTATTATCTACACGGCTGGTTATATGATTTATATCTAAGTATCATTACCATGATCATCATTAATAATCTTTTGAGAGTCATTTTGTTTTTTTTATACCTTAGCTATTGTGAACCATCTCCAATAGACATAGAAGTACAAATATATTTTTGAGAGTGTTTCAATTTATATTGCATGCATACCATGAAATGTTAGTTAACTTTATTTTAATTATTTTGTAATCTGTTTTTTCCCTATGACTCAAGCATAGCAGGTAGGGCGTTTGCCTTGCACGCGGACGACCTGGGTTCGATTCCTTCACCCCTCTCAGAGAGCCCGGCAAGCTACTGAGAGTATCTCGCCTGCTCGGCAAAGCATGGCAAACTACCCGTGACATATTCAGTATGCTAAAATCAGTAACAACAAGTCTCACAATTTATTGTGAGACGTTACTGGTGCCTGCTCAAACAAATCGATGAACGACGTGAGAACAGTGCTACAGTGCTACTTTTCTTCCCCTATAGTAACTAAACCTATTTACATTCCTACATGGTGCACAGGGCTCACTTACCGTTTACTTAGTCACCAATCATTTTTTCCTTCTTGATTATAGTGATTTTAAAATGTTTGCGATGAAATCTCCGTATCATTCTGATTTGATTTCCTTAATGATGCTGGGAAATTTTTTATGTGTTTGGTCATTTGCATATGTTCCTTAGAAAATAACTATCCAGTCTACAACTGTACCATATGGTGTTTCACTAATAAAAAAAAAGTCACCAAAAAAAAACTCTTAAAATGTGTAGAAGAAGTTGTAGAATTGCTTTTTTACCTGAGAGTAGGAATTATTTCTTAATACCAAATTGCACAAGTAAAAAAAAATGAATGTTTGTCAACATAATTTGGTAACCAAGATTTTAAAATGTTTCACTCTAAATAGAATATTAAATATAAATTTTTATATATAATAACGAGTGATAGCACAGCAGGTAGGGCATTTGCCTTCCATGCTGCTGAGCTGGGTTCAATTCCTCCTCCCCTCTCGGAGAGCCCAGCAAGCTACCAAGAGTATCTTGCCCACATGGCAAAGCCTAGCAAGCTACCTGTGATGTATTCGATGTGCCAAAAACAGTAACAACAAATCTCACAATGATGTTACTAGTGCCTGCTCAAGAGAATGGATGAACAACATGAGGACAGTACAGTGCATCTTTAATAAGAATACTGGGGGAATATTTATTTTAGAGTCTTATAGGAGTTGTAATAAATTGTTTTATCTAAATATTAAAAAAAGAAAGAAAGAAAATAGCTATCCAGTTCCTCTTTCCATTTTTAATGACATTAGCTTTTACTATTGGGTTGTGTGAGTATTTTAAATATTTTGGATATTACATTTTTAAATAATGAGTTTATGAGTTTAATGGGGCTGTAGTGATAATACAGTGGGTAGGGTACTTGCCACACACACGGCCTGCAGACAGAGTTATGATCCCTGACACCCCACATGATCCCCTGAGCCTGCCAGGAGTGATCCCTGAGCAGAGCCAGGAGTCAGCCCTGAGCACCACTGGCTGTGGCCTCAAAGCTAAACAAATAATGAGTTTTAAATTATTTCTTTTACAAATTCTTCATAGTTTTCATATATATATAACATTTGGGTTGCTTCCCAAATTTTACTCTAAGAAAATAAAATATATATCCTTAAATATATAGTATATATACAGTTGGAACATTTGCCTTACACACTGCCAACTGGGCCGACCAGGGTTCGATTCCTCCTCCCTTCTCAGAGAGCCCGGCAAGCTACTGAGAGTGTCTCGGCTGCACAGCAAAGCCTGGAAAGCTACCCATGACCTAATCGATATGCCAAACGTAGTATCAACAAGTCTCACAACGGAGACATTACTGGGCCCTCGGAAGCAAATCGATGAACAATGGGAGGACAGTGCTACAGTACTACAGTGCTACAAATTTTTCAAAATAGTCTCAATTTGCAGTAGACAAAGAGGATCGCTGACAGAATACTAAAAAGATATTTACCCATTCTAAGCATTCAGGTGGATGTAGGAAAGGAAGGAATCACTATTTCCATCAAAACGCTGCTTTCCTAAAACCACTGCATAGACCGAACACAAATGCCACTCAATGCCTCTTTTGCAAACCACAGCACCCAAAAAGGAGAGAGAGAACAAAAGGGAATGCCCTGCCACAGGGGTGGGGTAGGATGGTGGGGTGGGGGCGGTGGGAGGGATAGTGGGAGCATTGGAGGTGGGGAAAGGGCACTGATGGAGGAATGGGTATTTAATCATTATATAACTAAAACCCAAGCACAAAATTTGTAAGTCTATAACTGTACCTCATGGTGTTTCATTAATAAAAATTTAAAAAAAAAAGAAGTCTAAGTTAGAGACTGGAGAGATAGTTCAGCAGGTAGGGCATAGTTTTATCTCCTTAATCCTAACAATATTCAAAAAATTTAAAAAGATGAATTTAAGATAGATTTCATACGCTATTTTCAAGCACCCACTCAATTGCAAAAACAAAAACTTTTTGCACACTGCAAAATGACATATATACATGTATATTTTTACTTATACAGAACTTTAATTAAAAAACAAAAATTATTGCCATTAATTAACAAATTTAAACCAAATATGTCATCCTAGATTTGTACACAATATTTGCAAAAGCTCATCCAGGGAAACCTTTCCTACTTCAAGCATCTGGTCTTAAAATGTGAGTACTTTTTGTAATACTGGATTTTACATAGAAGGCTATAAAAGCAATATTTTAGAAGTCTCTTATAGGCTGGGTGCCTATATTCAAGAGACTAAGATCAACTTAAGGAAGCACCTTCATGTATGGTAAAAGGGTGGTGTTATGGATGAAAATTATACTGTACCAATTGCAATCTTTTTTCTCCACAATTGTTATCTCAACAGAGAAGACAGAGATGACCAAGGATAACTTGACAACTGAATTTATCCTCATAGGATTTACGGATCACCCAGAGCTGAAGACCTTTTTGTTTTTAATATTCCTTACCATCTATCTAATCACTATGGTGGGGAATCTTGGCCTAGTGGTACTGATTCTAATTGAGCGTCATCTTCACACGCCAATGTACATCTTTCTGGGCAACCTTGCTCTAATGGATTCCTGTTGCTCCTGTGCCATTACCCCCAAGATGTTAGAGAATTTCTTTTCTAGAGACAGACTGATAACCCTGTATGAATGCATGGCACAATTTTATTTTCTCTGCCTTGCCGAAACTGCAGACTGCTTTCTCCTTGCTGCAATGGCCTATGATCGCTATGTAGCCATCTGTAGCCCACTGCATTATCATACAAAAATGACAAAGAAGCTCTGTATTCAAATGACCACAGGGGCCTATATTGCTGGTCATGTGCATCCCTTAATTCATGTAGCGTTTCTATTTAGGTTAACTTTCTGTAAGTCTAATCAAATTTATCACTTTTTTTGTGATGTTCTTCCATTATACAGACTCTCTTGTACTGACCCTTACATTAATGAACTAATGATATTTATCTTTTCAGGGTTTGTTCAAACATTCACTATTACAATAGTAGTGATATCTTACCTCTGCATCCTTTTTACTATTTTCAGAATGAAATCCAAACAAGGAAAAGGCAAAGCCTTATCCACTTGTGCTTCCCATTTTGTCTCTGTCTCAATGTTCTATGGTTCTCTTTTATCTATGTACATTCGCCCAAGTTCACTTACAAATGGGGATAACGATATACCCATAGCAATTTTTTATACCCTAATAATTCCTTTATTGAATCCTTTTATTTATAGCCTAAGAAATAAGGAAGTAATAAATGCTATTAAAAAATACATGAAGAAAATGTCTTAATATCTTGAAATAAATATTTTCTGTTTAAAAGTTCATAAAACTTTTTCAAAATTAAGAAGTATTGAGCAAGTCAAAATTGGACACTTTGTAGATAGATAAAACTTTAAAATCCTAAAATATGATGACCTATGAGTAAAGAAGTCTGCTAAAATTTACTTCAAACTAAGAAGATTCATTGCAGTGAACTAAATAACTCTCTGAAAGCTACTAATTGTATCAAGATATGATTATTATAATAAGTAATTAATTCAAAGTATAAGGATTTTAAATTTGTAACAAATTCAAAAGATGTTTAAATGTTCCTACATTGTGTATATATATAGGCCACCTCCATTTAATATTTATCAAGTTATAGAACCAAAGAATAATTGTACAACCATGTGTCAGAAAGAAATTGTTCATTTACATTTAAATTTTAACTTTACTTATGCTTATCCAAAAGACTGGTTAAAATTGCTCTACATATAATATGTATTCTCTAATCAAAGACATTCTCTTCTTTTACTTTAATTTCTCCAAAATGAATTCCTTGTATAATGATAGAATATGTTTACAATTTTATATTTTTTAATTATGCCAATGGTAATTTGGCATGGGAAACCACTATGGATTTTCATACTTTTGTGAAATCTTGCCACTTATCTATTATATATAACAATGTAGTGCTGAATATACTGACCAAATAAATTTTTTCTGTAAATATTATTACGTATTTCTTGTTAAAAATGGCACTCACCTATACTGATTCTAATATAAAAATTTTAATATAAGTCTAACAATAAAAAGAAAAACTGAGTCTGTTTTCTCAGACTCATTGCAATTACAAATGAGCCTAATGATAGTGAAAACTCTACCTAGATAAAACATATTTACTGATCATGTACATGTACAGATATGAAAGAAAAATAATTTTAAGTCCAAAATATCTACTATGTTCTGTCTTAATTCTGTCATATATTAAATATTCTTAGATAGGTATTACTTTTCATGTTTTCCTCAAAATTCTATAACAACATACTAAGAGCTTAGTGAAGTTCAACTAGGACATCTGAATTGTTGTAGAATTTGAATTTGATTACAGGGCATCTAGTTCTTAAGGAGAAACACAAGTAAATTACACTTTAATTAAAATATGTATATTTGTGGACAAGCAGAAATGATCCAGACTGCAGTCAATATTACTGGAAATCACCATGTGAATGGTAATGCAGAATGAGAGAGGTGACTGTTGGATAAAGTCAGACAGCGGACAAAACTGTTGGTGAGCATTTGGTGAATGTGGGAACTCTGGATGTGAAGAATAGGGGAAGTAATAGTGGATATTTATGATCTTCAGTGCTTTGATGCTAGGGAATCTGAATCTGACAGAGTCTTCAGACATGGAAGGCGTCTGTGAAATGAGTACTATGATTGCATTCTTCAGAAAACTGATCTGTCAATTGACTGAAAACTTGACACAAGTTGAGTTACCTCAATAATTCAGATAATTGATGATGAAAACTGAAACTAAGAATACTCTAGTACTTTCCTTTTAGACTCCAGAGGAAAGATGCACACAGGTAAGAAATTTTCTATAGAAAGAAGTTATAAATTTCCGCTGTTGAATAAAGATATAAGGTCCTGGCATCTCAGGAATATCAGCCCTATTACAATCTAATTTCTATCATTAAAAACGAAATGAGATGTCTGATACATTTGGTCATTTATAGAAAATTTCATTTGAATGGAATTGTTAATATGCAAATTAATATGTAATAATTTTTCTGCTTTTATTTTAAATGACTTAAGGAAAATCATATAGATTTGTCAGCTTTAATTTATTAAATTAAATAATAATAAATGGCATATGTGGTTAGTGATAGATATAGTCACATAAAATGATTTTGTGGTTCTCAATAAAGTTTCTAGATACAAACGAATTAGAGGTTTTATTCCAGTCTGTCATCTAATTTTCACTTATGTCAGCATCAGCAACTGTCAGTATCAACCAGTATAACATGTCTGTATCAATTCTTGTGATTATTATCATTTTTCATGGACTTTGAAACAAGATATGTGAGTTCTTCTACTTTTTTTTTTCTTATTTAAGATTGACATCCTGAACTTCTGTCAATTTAGAATATTTTGTCAGTTTCTGCAAAGAATCAAGTTGAGATTTCGGTAGGGATTTCCTTGCATCTGTAAACAAATTTTTGGTGCATTGTCAATTTAACACTTGATCTTAGCCAAAAGGCTGAGAAGAGATCGGCAAGCGACCGAGAGTATCTTGCCTGCACAGCAAAGCCTGGCAAGCTCTCCGTGCTGTATTCGATATGCCAAACACAGTAACAAGTCTCACAATGTTACTTGGCCTGCTCAAGCAAATCGATGAACAACGGGAAGAGAGTGACAGTGTCTATTTAACGATATTAATTCTTTTAAGTCATCTATAAACCAGAGATGCACTCCAGCATTGAGTCATATCCTTGGCCATCATTATTTAATAAATGTTAATCCAAACATGCATGAAATAAACCCATATGGTTATGATGTACAACTGTTTCTATGTCTTGCTGAATTTGGTTTACTCAAGGATTTTGCATGTAAATATTCTCACACATATTGAGATATATATGTGTATATATGTTTTTGTTATTGTAAATAACTTAGCTCTCTTTAATACAAAGCATTAACTGCTTCTGTATTCATAATATTTTAGTTGTAAAAAATTGGTGCTCTTTTTCATTTAGTAGAATTTACCAATGAAACCCTCTTGGTTTGGGATTTTGCTTGGGTAGTTTCTTTTTTAAAAATAGGGACCACTTTGGCTGAGCTCTGGGTGCCCAAGACTTCTTGTCATATAGAGCATTTGGTGAGAGCCTGATTGCTTTGTGCTCAGGCCCAGAAATGCAGTTTTGCTTGGGATACACCAGCTCCGAGGCCATGGTGCTCAGGGGCTCTGAGGAAGCAACAGTGATGCTCTGGAGGCCAGGCTGTGCCAACAACCCACATCAGAGTCTCTCTTAAGCTAATCGTGTGCTGAAATTGAGCCATCTCCCTGAACTGTGGTAGTTTTTTTTTTTTTGCTTTTCGGGTCACACCGGGCGATGCTCAGGGGTTACTCCTGGCTCATGCACTCAGGAATTGCTCCTGGCGGTGCTCAGGGGACTATATGGGGTGCTGGGAATTGAACCTGTGTGGGCCATGTTGGCTGCATGCAAGGCTAACGTCCTACCCGCTGTGCTATAGCTCCAGCCTCCCAGTGTGGTAGTTTTTAGTGTGGTTAGAGCCTCCCTAGTGTTGTTTGGGGTCCCAGGACAGATGCATCTGGCACAGGAATGTGTCCTTGACAGTTTTGATGCTCCGGCCTAGCACTAATGGATTTACTAGGCTTCAGCAGCATTGACTTGACCCCTCCCTGTGGTCCTCAGGGACCATCAAACATACAAGGTGTTCCTCAGCAGGTCACACTGATGCAGTGGAAGTGAAAGGGAGAAGTAACAGGGGAAATAGTTCAACTGTCCAGGTGTTTCAAATCTCTCCTGCCAAAAAAATGTATCCAGTCAAAATAAATAATCGGATGGTTTCAGGAGTGGGAGGGTTGATGTCAGCAGATAAAAGGCTGCCCCAAGCCACACAAACATTATTTGCTCCCCCACCTCACCTCTGCCCAGACAGATTTCAGGACAGCAGGATTCTCACTCCTGTGCATTAACCATGGTTGGAGACTAAAGAAAACTAAAGGAACAGGGAACTGCTGGGACAGAGTCCAAAAGAGGCCCAGTGATAGGTTACAGAGCATCAATCCACAAAACAACACAACAAAGGGACACAGGTGAGAGGGTTCTAGCTGTAGATTTTAGACTAGGGAAAGCATACACTGAATAGAGAACAGCATAGGGAGAAAACCGGGTCATTGTACACTAGAGGTGAGCAGATGGTGGGCGACAGGATTTAGGACATACACTGGTCCAAGCATCGCAAAAGAGAACAAGTGATGTTGTGCATGAATAAAAAGGGAGGCCTGGACACTGGGGACAGACTCAGACTCATCAGCCTAAGCTCAACAATAAACCTTAACTTCTTAAGCATATTCTTAGTTATATATGGAAATCTTTCATACAACTCTCAAGAACCCACAAGCTTAGTGATAAACGCACTTTCTCACTAACAATATGGTGATGGGAGGTCGATGGAGTAATGAATTCAGAACCTACTCTGTGCAAGGCATGTTCTCCTCACCCTTTGAGGTATTTCCATGATCCACTTTAGGAGTTTATATTTTTTTAACCACTTATTTGTTTTGATTGTGAGACTTGTTACTGTGGGCCCGCTCAAGCAAATCGATGAACAATGGGAGGACAGTGACAGTGACTTGTTATGATACATTAAGATTTTCTATTTCTTATTTAATACCTTTTGTTTGTGTGTTTTTAGACCATACCTGGAGGTGCACAGGACTTACACCTGGCTCTGTGTTCAGGGATCATCCATGATGGTGCTCAAGAGACCATATGTAGTTTCAGGGATTGAACTCAGAGCTTTGTGCATGCTAGGTCAGCTACCTCCCTGCCTCACAGGCAATGATCTTCCTTTCCGGGAATTATACTTTACTATTTTTTTTTACATCAAAGAGCAAGAACACTCAGTTTTTGTGCTCTTTATTGTCAAGTTTGGCTTCTGGGTTCACTGCGAATCCACCAACAGTTCGGCTGAAGGAGCTCATCCCTTTCCATCCCCTCACCCAGGATAACCCTAACATATCACAGCAGTGAAACAAAGCAGGAACACACTAATCAGGAGAGCCATGGCTGGGGCCATGCATTGGGTGATTGGTCGTGGAAAATTTACTCTGGTGGAGGGACAGGTGTTCGATCATTGTATGACTGAAACTCAAACGTGAAAGTTTTGCAACTGTAGCTCATAGTGATTCAATAAAATAAATTAATAAGAGAAAAAGAAAGGAAGAGAGGAAAGAAGGAATGAAGGAAGGGAGGGAGGGAGGGAGGGAGGGAGGGAGG